TTTTGTGAATTCTCTTCAATGCATTTGCATGTTTTCCGGTCTTACATTCTTACCACACATCACACAGACCTCGGCATACCTAGAACATAATATATACATGCATACGCATTGGAAGATGTGACATATATCAATCATGGGTTTCTACTGCCACAATTAATTTTCAGGTGCTGATGCTTGATAGTGAATTTCAGAAATAACCATTCGTCAGCAATGAAGAAATGGCGATAAATTGCTATATTTAACCACTAGATGTCACACTTGCCTGGCACATGCGACATGACACGTGGGTTGCACACTAAACAGTTGCACAACCAGTATACAAATGCGAATACCACAAGAGTACGCACTACGCACACATCGTAAGCGATTCCGCTATTTTATCATCGATTTCGATTCCTCGCGACTTACTTGAAACCCCAGTGCGTCCGCTTGTGCGTATCCAGGTGGTTCTGCTGCCGGAAGCACTTGCCACATTGCTTGCACTCGTACGGCTTCTCCCCGGTGTGGATGCGATAGTGGCGCTGCAGGTAGCCGGTCTTCGCGAAGCGCTCGCCGCAAACATCACACTCATGCGCCTTAACGGCTGTGTGCACGAGCTTGTGCTTCTGCAGGTCGCTACCAGCGACGAACGCCACGCCGCAGACGCCGCACGCGTATGGCTTGATGTTGAGGTGCCGGCGCACGTGCTGCGTCCGGCTGCTGCTCTGCTTAAAAGCCGTGGCCGCAGTAGCGGCAGCGGAACGGCGTTGGCACCCGTGTGCGTGCGCTCATGCACGAGCAGCGAGCTGCGCTGCGCGAAACGCAGGTCGCACGAGCCGCACGCGTAAGGCTTCACGTCGCGGTGCGTGTGCGCGTGCTGCCCGAGCGACCAGGCGCGCGCGAATGCCGCCCCGCACACGCCGCACACGTGCCGCTTCTCGGCGTGCGCGACCATGTGCTGCTGCAGGCCGTGTGCGCGGCTGAAATGCTTCTCGCACACGTCGCACTCAAACTTGGAGGTTCTGCGCGCGTCGACCATGTCGGTGGCGGAGACCCATGATGCGGCGGGCACCGCCGACAGCTTGCCGACGCTGTGACCCTTGTGGCTGCGTGCTGTGTGACGCAGCAGCAGCGCGCGAGACAGGAACGTCGCCGCACAGAGACGGCAGGCGTGTGCGGCAAACGTGCCGGAGTGCTTCGTTGCCGCGTGACGCTGGAGGTGTAACTGCGTCGCGAACGTCATCTCGCACAGATCGCACTTCCGCGCAGAGTCGCGCACGCTCAATGGCCTGCCGTGGAGCCGGCGCCGCGCACCAGACAGAGCGGCGGCAACCTGCTCACCGCCGCCGTCATTCTGGGACTTTTCTGTCTTCACTTTTGTGTCGCCACGAGCGACGGGGTGTCTCGCGTCGCCGCAGTCGATGAGGCATTTTGCGTCGCCGCGGTCGACGGGACGTCTCGCGCCGCCACGGGCGACGAGGTGTCTCACGTCACCGCGATCAACGGGGTGTCTCGCGTCGCCAAGGCGTCTCGAGTCGCTGCGGTCAACGTGACGTCTCGCGCGGCCGCGGGCGACGGGGCATCTCGCGTCGCCGCGGCCAACAGGGTGTCTCGCGTCGCCAAGGAGTCTCGAGTCGCTGCGGTAGACGGGGCGTCTCGCGTCGTCGCGATTGACGGGACGTCTCGCGCCGCCGCGGGCGACAGGGCGTCTCGCGTCGCCGCGGTCAACGGGGCGTCTCGTGTCGCCAAGGTCGACGAGGTGTCTCGAGTCGCCGCGGTCAACGGGGCGTCTCGCGTCGCCAAGGTCGACGGGGCGTCTCGCGTCGCTGCGGTGGACGGGGCGTCTCGAGTCGCTGTGGTCGACGGGGCGTCTTGCATCTCTGCGGGTAACGGGGCGTTTCGTGTCGACGGGGCGTCTCACGTCGTCGCGGTCGACGGGGCGTGTCGCGTCTGTGGCGGCGGCCTCCGCGGCAACAGTGTCCATGGCGACGGCATCAGCGGCGATGGCAACGGCGTCCATGGCAACGGCATCCGCGGCGACCGGTATAACGTGCGTCTTGCGACGCAGGCGGTGCTTGAGCCACATGTGCTTCCGCAGAAGTCCCAGCTGCTGCTCGGAGAATGACACCACGCATTTCGGACAACGGTATCTGTTTGCGGTGTCGAATTTCACGGCTCTTTGTGTCACGCTAACGACTTTGGGTGGAACTCCATTTGCCGTTAGACGAGTCACGCGAGGTGAGTCTAGCCGCGTTTTTTTGTTGGAACCGGTCGCTTTACTAGTGCTTGTTTGTTCTCTTTCCTGAGATGGCGCTTTAACCGGCAGTTTTTTAGGTCGACCTGGTCGTCGCTCTAGCGTCGTCGCGGGTGCGCTAGGTCGACCTGGTCGTCGCTTCAGCGTCGTCGCGGGTGCGCTAGGCCGACCTGGTCGTCGCTTTAGCGTCGTCGCGGGTGCGCTAGGCCGACCTGGTCGTCGCTTTAGCATCGTCGCAGGTGCGCCCGGGGTCACTTTGATAATCTTGTTTTTTTTCGGTTTTTTTAGTATCGCTCTACTCATGCTTCTGTGAGCTGCACTCTTCGCTTGTTTGTTTGTGTTTTAGTATTTCGTGATTCCACAGGCTTTTTGCACGCTTGTACGAGACCGAACACTTGGGGCACTTGAACTTGAGAGACGATTTCCTATCGCCGCTTTCTCTTCGTCCACCTTCGTCAGCCGGTACTTCGGTATTTTCGCTTTCTTTACCTACTGTTACCTGAACTCGTGCGGGGCAGCTTTGTGAGTGCTCATCTAGGAGGCGATTGTTCCAAATCTTCCAGACAACTAGGGCACTGGTACTCAAAAGCATTCGTTCGTGATCTTTGAATAAATTGTAGGAGCAAAACGTCCGACCACAGTTCTCACAAGCGTACGGTCATTGCTGGCGTGCAACGTCAACGTGATCCATGAGTTGGGCTTCGGACCTGAACCTGCGTCCACAAGGTAGGCAAACGTACGGTAGCCTGAGGATTTTGCGTTGAACAGTGATTCATGCGACTTTTCGTGCTCCTGTAGTCACAGATGTCGTGAACTTTGCCGTGCAAATTCCGCATTCATACGATGCTGCTCGAGCCATGTCCCTTCTGCAGATTTGGAGGTACGTTCACTTTCCGATTTGACATCAAACAGTCGATGACAATTTGCAACGTTGAAATCTATTGCGTAGACAGACGGTTCAGAACAACTCCGACGGTTCTACTTTGCTCTATCATTGGCTTAACGCTAGGTTGACCTGTATTAGAGGCAATCTGTGACAAGGAGGCACGGTCTGACGAGCGTACAGAGCGCTGATGAATTGTTTTGTCAGGTTTAGAGGTTGGTTCAACAAGGGTTCTCACGTTCATATAATGCTTAAAATGTTTACGATCCGATTGGTTTTCATCGCGATACATCTGAAACAGGCAAGCCACCTCCGTGGGTGGTGAATGGCATATAACCTGTGGAATGAATCTTGACCGCTTTGCTCGTTTCCTGTCGTAACTGTAGTAACATGTTGCCACTCCTTCTTGTGTGTTATAATCGTGTATTGTTCTAGTTCTGGCAGACCCTTCTGCAAGTATTGCTGCGGGTGACTTATAACGACCTGCACTAATAATTCGGTACTTTGATATTGGCTACGACGCCGTATCTTTGCTTTTTAGCCAAATGGGACTTCACCTTCTATCTTAACGGATGGTGATTTACCAGTAAGAGAGTGCAGAGGGCAATTCATTGCTAATTGCCTGCTCTTTTCCTATGGGTTTGTGACAGCAAAATTTGCCAAAAAATTGCAGACGATCCATCGATTGTCTACAGTGCTTACCCATGTGGCGAAGCCTCAACACTCAGGCCAACGCTCTCATTAGCACTCCATTATGCTTACATTCTGACGAACTTGGCCTCAAGGATATCCAACTGAGAGAAACCTTCCTGATGAAATCATGGATTCGCATACTGTGCAAAAGGAGAGTATATAGTTTTCTGTTTGTATACAATGATAACTCAACGTAAGTGAACAACAACTTCAACTAATGCCTCAGTGACCCAGCAAACATAGAGCTCTACGAGTCATTCCACATGCGTCTAAACAGAGGAATTGCTCCGACTTAAATATTGACTCCGTAATGGGGGATAAAAATAGAATCTT